ATTCGGTTATATGTTTACCTCATATAACATTTGAACATGGATTGAAACATTAGATGTCTTTGGAATACTCTGAGAGTGAGAAGCAAAACATAACTTTCAGCAATGATGCATCGAAATCTACCTTTACTGACTGATTCAGAAATGTAATTGCAAAATATTTTGTCAACATGACTAAAATGTTAAAAAAATAGACGTATCAGCACGAAATAGTTTGTAAGATAAAAAAAGCAGTCTAGGACAACTTATATAGCGTTCTAACCTCAAACATTGTTATCGTTTCAGTGTACAAATTCAATTGATACAAAATAACTACGTTACCAATTTATGTTTGTAAACAAAAATCAATTGTTTAATGGTTGCGTAATAGCTATTTACATTACAAGTGTAGTAAGAGCGTTTTTACTTCACGCAGGTGAATGTTGTGCAACGAGCGGAAGCGAGTTAGGCGGGTTAGGTAAATCAATTTACCTAACCCGCCATGTTAAACTTCCCTATCCCAAGCGTGATGTATACAGCTTCCTTACTTCTCGAGTGATGTAAAGTTGAAAAAAACTCACTCGGTGATGTAATGAAACCCATTTAAATAACATTGAGTGGATAACTTAAATACCCCCGTCGCAGCAAACCTGCATACTAAGCGAATTTCCATTTACCCGGCTTGATTTCTACTAAAATATTCCCTATAAATTTTCAGATTTATTTCCTATTTAAATAACATTAATTTTAGTGAGTAGTTAGGTTTGCTGCTACGGGGAAGATGTTGAGGTGTGTTTTTTTGAATTGAAATATTGATAGCTTAGTATGAAATAAGCCAAATTGCCAAATTTGATTAAAATGTATCCATAAACAAGCAAACTAGAACAGTTTATTTATTCTCCATAAGAATAACATAGGAATTTTAAATTTACAATTTTTTTAATTTTCTCCGTAGTCAATGAACATTCAAAAAAACTTCAATATACTAAATTATTTGTTTTTTTAAGCTCTTCAAAATGGTTTAGAGAGAAATTTAGAAATTTAAAGTTTTTAGGGTCAAAAATGAGAAAAACCCATTTTTACCCCATAAAACCCCCCATAAACCCCTGATCCCATGGTCCGATTATGCTGGTTCGCGAACTCGTTCGAATAAATGTAGGTTTACACGTTTGTACCAAATTTCATCAAAATCGGATCAATTTTGCTCGAGTTATCGCGCTAACGGACACATATATAAATATATATACAGTAGAACCTCGGTTAACCGAGGTAATTGGGACCGAGGGTACCTCGGATACGGCGAACCTCGGATAACACGGAACGTAACCTAAAAATCGTTACCGGGGCTAAAAATAGCTCAAGATATACTAAAACATGAACAAAAGTTATTAACTGATCTGTTGTTTAGTTTATTAGTACAAGAAATGTTATTAGTACGCAATAAAACGTGAGAGGAAACCAAAACACTCAACAATACTAAACACTGTTTTAATATAAAACTCAATTTATTGCACAACTGAATACGTATGATATAGGCTACACAATGTACAGAAGTTTAGTTACAGTACAGTATTCCTGTTTACAAAATTAAATCAAAGAAATGAAAATTAATTTACTGTACATTGTACAAAAATAAACAAAGTAAGCTAATCTTTTTTCCCAAAGAAATCAGTTATTGTTTTTTGACTTAGATTAGAGGATCTTAGGCTAGCCGCCCTGTTGCGCCAGCGTCGCAGCCAAACTAAATCGTTTGTTGTTGCGGTTTCTTGTTGTTCAATGTATGCCAGTCACTGAGCTAAAATTATAACTGGAGGTAGCACTGCCATTGAAGAAGTCTGTCAAAAGCGTGTCGCTGATTTTGTTAGGTTGGTATAGCAGCAGGTTTTTTCATCCAATAACATGGCTTCTATAACTAGGTTTCCATAGCAGTGAGTTTTTTCATCCAATAACATGGCTTCATTTTAACTCACACCTCAAGCAAACATGGCGGCTGGCGACACGCATCTTTGACATTCAGTGCCTCCAGTTAGAATTATAGCTCAGTGATGCCAGTGCTCCCTCGATCATTCTTAGACCTTCTGTATGTGATATTTTCTCAGTCGCCCCATCAGATTCATCGCTGTAAAAAAAACTTTTGTCGAATCGGGGTGGTGGGGAGAGCGAGTGGCTCAGTCGCGTCTCGGCATTGAAACAGTTCGCATTGGTCCGGCGGCGAGCGGTGTCGGGTTACAACACCTGCAGCTGCTCTGGCGAGCGGTGTCGGGGGACAGTGCCGTATGCATTCGGCAAAGATAAGCGCTAAGCTACGCAAATATTTGGCCGAGGAAACACAACAGTTGCCAACATTTTACTGTACAGTAGTTTTAACGCATTGCAGGCTAGCGTGCGTATTGCGATAAAAGGAGCACCCAAACGCTCATTACTGTACGCAGTTTGTGCGTGTTTCTTTTGCTTTTTAAATAAAAAAAATCGTTCGAGGACGGCCTCGGTTAACCCGGAGTCTCGGTTAAGCGAGGCTCGGTTAACCGAGGTTCTACTGTATATATATATATATATATATGAATTTGAACGAATGGTGTTTTTGGCCTCTGGGGACCTCAAAACGAAAAAGTAAATCGGTCGCGGGTCTAGGTCTTACCATGAGACCTACGGTAATAGCTTATTCCCTATATGGGAAATTCGCTAAAAAACTATACCTCTATGGAGCCAACGACGTTCAACGCTAGAAATCAGCTGTGTGTTTGAATTTTATTGTTATGCTTTGAAGAATTTTCCTAACCTAGCTTTTGTTTGTAAATGAACGTAAGGCTACTGTTAGAAGATGAGTGAAATTGATAATGAAGTATATTGCTCGTAACCACCTGAATATTGTCGGGTCAGGTAAAATCTTGTACGTTACACGTTACGCAAGAGCGTGTTTACATCACTTCGGTGAATTATGCAACTCGCCTTCGCTCGTTGCACAACATTCACCTGCGTGATGTAAAAACGCTCTTACTACACTTGTAATGTAAATAGCTATTAAATTATTATTTACTACACAAATTATTTGTAATGTAAAACATTGTTCACCACTCGGAGCAAAAGTATATTATTTATGGTACTTAAATTGTTTTATAGTACGTGGCAGTATAGTATTATTAGTTTATTAGTTGCTTGTTGCACTGTTCTACACACTGCTCAAGCTCTACAGCTCATTAAGTGGCATCCTGTCCACACACTGTTGATATATACTGAATTGTGGCATGGTGCCACTATTTCGAGTGTAGGCTGGCGCGAGAATTGGCAACGTAGCATTAGGAAAGTTATAGTTCCGGCGGACGGCGCGAGGCGCGCTAGCTACCTGTATAGTTTCGTGTTCCACAATTCGGTGTGTACCTGCGCTACTTAAACTCACATCAACGAGTTCAAAAATACTCAATTGTGGCATGTGATGTTTAAACGACGTAATAATGCTGGAAAACCTCAAAAATGATCGAATTAGCTGTGGCACCCTGAAAAAGGTGCCACAATTTTTGAAGGTGCCACAGCCGTGTGCCTGTGAAGGATGCCACTATTCGGTGAATACAAACACACACACACACACACACACACACACACACACACACACACACACACACACCCACACACAGACACACACACAGACATCACTTCAAAAACCACTTTTTTCTGGACCCAAAACGATTATATCTACTCAACACTCAAACTCGAAAATGTTGACGAAAACAATACTTTCTCCATATACAGTACTATGGTATAGGGGGAGAAAGTAAAAATTAATTACTAAAGATTAGCTAAATATCACAAAATGATTTAAATGAAATGAAATTAAAAACATAAAAGTAACTGTAAACAATCCTACTTTGATAGTTCTCATTGCATATCATATTTTTTGTTGTTGCTTAGTTCAAATTAGCTGTTTCCATAAATGCAAAAAAGTAATAGTGCTGCACCCTGTTGGTAAATCTTATAACTTTTAATGCTTTTGTATACATAGGACAAACTTTTAAGTTAAAACAGCTGACTACTGAATTCTTTTATTCACTTTAAATGTGATTACTCATAAGGTTAATGTAGTAATGTTTTTATATAGTACATGATCAACTCTGACTTGTAAGTCTCTTATTACTTCATGTATTACTCTATGCATTGGGCCGTTGGCTCTTTCTCAGAATAAACCAAGATGTCGAGCAACCAAGATGTGCCTTTTAATTATTAAAGCCCTACAAGTCCGACTAGCCCTAGTTCAGTTAACATGGGGAACCACAGAGCCACTGGGGCAGAGCTCGAAAGCATTTTTGAGATAAGAATATGCCTATATGTTAATCGGGAATGTGAGCTATAATCATGCCAAATTTCAGCCCAATCCGTCCAGTAGTTAATGCGTGATTGAACTTCAAACAAACACACAAACTTTCACATTTATAATATTAGTAAGATTTTGGTCAAACTTTGCGGATTTATTTATTTCACACTAAACTATTGATATTTTAATAAAAACCACACTTTATTAGTTTCCCTGTAGGAGTATTGGAAAATGCATTCATATCTTACTAAACTATTAACATTTGACAAAAAAACACTTTTTACCCTCCCTGTTACAGCTAACCTAAGTACTTGTTAAACTAATTAATTATATTTAAATAGGGAATAAATGTGATATTTTTAAGGATACATTTTAGTGTAAATCCAATCGGGCAAATGGAAATTCGCTTAGTCTGCAGGTTTGCTACGGCGGTTTATTTAAATATTGGATGAAGAACAGTGGTTTTGATTTTATCAGGGAATACACCATGAAACAAGCACAAATTGATAAGCTACTGTACCCTTCGCAATTGTAGGAGATGGAGATGCTCTCGATTTCACTGCGATTGAAATGTTAAAATTTTTGCTGTGAATGTTGGAAATAACCTCAACAGGGTCGTGATGGCAAATCTTAAATTTGGACTTTATATAGGCCTAATTTTTAATCTAAAGATGCATGATCTATAAATATAATTCAAGATATAAGTAAAATATTTTACCTGGCAAAATTCAATGACTGGAAGGACGATGTCCACAAGATCTTGTCTACTGGAAAACTGTTTCCACACAGAGATGGCTACAGCTGGCCATAAGGCTGGAAAACTGATGAAATCTTCCAGCTTTCTTTGTTCTTTGACATCAACAAAATGAGTGGCAATCGTCTATAACATAAATTATTTAAGAAAAAACCATTAATAATAGAGGTGTGTAAGCGGGTCAATTTTCAAGCTGAACTGAGACTGGCTACAAGCTTGAGAGATCTCGCACCAAGTCGGAGAATCGAGCTCGAGCCAAGCTTTTATGATCACGCCTGCGATGGTCGTGAGATCAATTCATTTAATTGAGGATTCATGTTTTTGCCGCGATTGCGAATGACAACAATAACCTTTCCATGATTGCGGAAGATGTCCAGCATTTTTCTGCGATCCCGAGAGACAATAATGATGTCTACCAAACCGCATGAGATATTCAGGGTTTTTCCACAATCGCTGAAGATGATAATGAAATTTCCGTGAATGCGGGAGAAGTCCAGGAGACGATTATGTTGACTAATAAACAACCACAAGAGATGTCCAATAATTTGCAATGGTCACAGAAGACAATGATGATATTTTTGTGATCGCAGAAGATATTTATGATTTTCCCAAGATTGTGGAAGAAGAAGATAGTGATATTATCATGACCGAAGGGGATTTTCAGAATTTTATGGTATAAAATTAACTATAAAATAAACTGGTATAAAATGGTCACTACTAGTTTTTTACTTCAGGGTTTAATCGCCATAAATACCCAGGTCAGAGCATAAAGCATAATCGGCATATAAATAGCCTGGTCGCATGGTTGCACTGGTCCTGACTACTTATGATTTTTAAATTTCCATGATATATGAATGAATTTATTTTATTGAAAGTGAAGAAAAATAATTTGTAAAGTAATAATTATTATTTAGAAAGACAGGAAATTTTAACCTAAGTTTAGTAGTGGCCTATGTGTAAACAACTTAAGAAAATAATTAAAATTCAATCTGCAGGATGACAGGATTTAATAAAATTTTTTGTTCTAGATCTTTTGTTGGTATCAATGGTACCTATCTAAATAAAAAAAAACAATTTCATAAACTTGTGATACAAAACATTTGAATCTATTTCACAATAAATAATTATATTAAGCTAGACCAAAAAACAGGAGATATAGGCCTACATTTTTTTGTAGGTTTATCCAAATATATTATTGTTTCCACCTAAGCGGTAGGTTAGTTTAATTAGAACAGAAAAGTTTAATTACTTTTAGGATTCTGCCTATGTCAATCAGGCCTTAGGTATGTCTAGCCTTCCAAGCCATTTATATAATAAAAATTTTAGCCCCAGTGGCTCTGGAGTTTCCCATGTTAACCTTATGAGTACCGGTACTCATATTTAAATGGAGATCCCACTGAAAATTGTCAACAATTTCAAAAATTTTGGATTTTTATTTTTTGTACCTCTTTTTTATTAAAATCTTCCTATATAAGAAAAACACAACAATTTGATGTAAATTTACATATTTCATGGAGTAAAAAATATTTAAAGTTGAATGTGCACTCGAATTTTTGGTGAAATAAACATCACTTCGGTGTTTTTCTTGTATAGTCACGGATTGTACATATGCCTGAAAAAGATTTTTATGTAAGTATATTGACCAAAAATGTTCTTAAAAGTAACACTAGCAGTACTTCTAAACAATAAAAACTTAAATAGTGAACTAGGAGCTCTTATTTTGGCTAAAATTTAACAAAAACCATTGATTTTAGAAAACGTGCGATTCCCGAAAGTAGAGAAAACCGTGAGTTGGTTTACTAAAAATGCTAAGGCTCAAAAGGCATTAGAGATACAGCAGTGAAACTTTGCATGCTTACTCTTTACATATACAGGGACAAAGTTATGTATGGGCTTTCAATTATCTAAAGAAACTTTTATTATTTTAATTTTTTTGTAATATTGCGAAAATGTTATTGTTATTTTCTTAATTTGAAAACTTGTAGAAAAAATATCTGAAGAGATAATTTCAAACTAATACATAACTTTGTTTGCAGTAATATACTCTATCAAATGACACTTCAATCATCTATCTACTACTTATAGTTAAAAAGCCTTAACCCCAGCCTTTTAGCCTTTTAGCCCTCTTTTTAGCCTTTTAGCCTTTTAGCGGTTCTTGTGAAAGGCTGCAAATTCGGTTAAAATGGTGGTGGGGGGGAGGGGGGTGGTTTACAAGTGGTCAAAAAATAGTTATTTTGTTTCAAGTAGAGTAATTTTACATAATAAAAATTAAAATATCTCAAAATAATACACAGTTAAGAATTTAGAATTTTCAGTGGGACCTCCCCTTTGGAATTAAAGAATCTTAACAGCTGGTGCAACTAAACAATTTGATTCTGTGATACTGTGTGTTACTCCAGCTAACTGGAGGTTTACCCACTGTTACTTTGGGTGACGTAGCTCAGGAATAAAACTCAGTACTCAGTACTATATAAAAACATATTTCAATAAAAGACAATTTCGTTATCTCACAAAATTGTTTCTATCCTCCAACAATTCTAATGCATATTATTGAAATTGTTACCAAGTTTATCTACGACGTGTATCCATTTCTCAATTCATCGCATTTTATTTCTATATCTTAAAAATCTACATATTACTTCTAAACCACACAGTTTTTATATCCTAAATGCATCTAGTTAGGTACTCTCCCTTGTTTTTATTTGTACAGTTTTTCCTTATGTATCAGGTCTAATGTATTTAGGCCTATTTTAACAATGATGCTTAGTAATATTATTTATTTAGAGTTGCTTTAGAGTGTATCATTTATTGATGTCGGTGATCCCATCTTTTGAGCTGTTTTATATGTATATGTTAATCAGTCAACATATAAAACAATTTGATCAATATTAGTTGGATGTCAATCAATAGAACATCCCAAACAGGTCTCGACCTAGGGATAAATTGTTTCATAGTTAAATAATCCCCAAGTGTATAAGTTAGTTAATCTAAGTTATTCTTAGTCTACTCTGTGTGTATGATTTGTAAATCAATATATGAAACAATAAAGATTTTCTGATTGCTGATTCTGATTTCTTCCTCGCCATTCTTGGATCTCAAGAATAAGTAGACTGGTATTAAATATATACTATTAGGTATATATATTATATCTACTATTATTTTTGTAGCTTTATTTAGTTATTCCCAATTGTTGAACATAAGCTACAAGAGTTCTAAACTAAACCATATACCAGATTGGTTAGCGGTATTCCAAGTTTTTACATATGTTATTAGGATTCACAGATGGTCAGAATTAATTGTTATTATGTTTGTTTAGTTCAATGTTTTGGTTTAGTTCAGTGTTTACATTATGAAATTATTAAATTGAGTTTAATACAGTTTTTGTTAATAAATGTATTTAATAATTGGCGATGAGGACAATTAATTACCTACAGTTCTAATTTAGACTTATTACATTTACTAGTACAGTTAATTTATTATGGCCTCCTTCCAAGGAAATGAAACATTGAGTGAACTGAAGAAAGCAAGACCTGTTGTTAACCCTCCCAGTGTTACTTGACGAAAATTCGACAAGCAGCACACTTTGTGTAGTGTTACTTGTCGATTTTTCGACACGCAGACATCGTTTACGGCGAAGGCTCTATGACTGACTGAATCGGATTGAACTGGATCGAGTTAGGTATCGTTCTTTCCGTAATATTCTAAGCTTTCTCCAGAGGTCTGTCTCTAAGCGCTATTCATTTTAGTTCCGAAAATATTGTAGCAGACAGCTGACGTGCGTGTATTTGTAAACAGCTAGGTTTCCCCGGACCGATGACTGATGTGTTTTATTACGTTTATCATTGTTTTAGTGTTAAAAATCAAAAGTAGTGATATACGTGGTGCATTATAAGAAGATTTAAAAGTGGTTTTGAAGTGCTGGTTGATGATCCTGAAGAAGTAGGTGGTGATATTGATGTAAATTATCAGCCAGATTCCTAGCTATGGTTAGGCTATGCATTCTTAGCTAAACGCTATGTACTGAAATCAGTTTTTTGCCCATAACTTATTTATTTGCAAATCTACTTCCTTATATTATTATATATTTGTAATCCTCATAAAATTTAGAACAAAGTGGCTATTTTCAAATATTTATAGGCCTATAATTTATACAATTTCATTGAGCGCGAACTTATTTTTTTTTTTGAAAATTTTCGAAATTATATTTTTTTTACCTAAAAATTTTTTTTTTTTTTTAAATGTTCCTTATGTTTTATATATAATATTGAAGCCCATGATTTTCCAAACAAAATGGTATATAGAACATTAGAATTAACATTGTTTTAAGCTTCTCAGATCCGTTTTAATAAAACCTTGCAAATGCGCCAAAAATAGGTGGACATTAAGGCCTAAACTATGGACACTTGGAGGGTTAAAGGTCAGTTGAATAGAGTTGAGAGAATAATTGTCTTGTATTAAAGTTCATAGTATCAAAACAAGACTCACAGTGACACAAGCTTATTGGGACCGATTTGAGTTTATCCAGCACAACATTGGAGTAAAAACAGATGAAGAAGAGCTTGAAACTGAAATCACATACGGGACCGACATGGAGGATATGTATTTCAAAATAGTTTATGCATTACAAAACCGATTGATTAAGTGAATTGGAAGGAGTCAACGAAACAGAAGAACAGATCAGACCATACAACGTTGATACTCAGAAATTGTGACCGCTTACATCAACAATTTTGTTCTTCATTCACTTACATGGACAAAGAAAGCATCCTACAGATAAGGTATACACATTACTTCATTCTTTAACTCCTAACTTACATCGGAATGTTTATGATTTATTTGCTCCAGAATTACCTGTATGGATAAATCATATACAGAATTGGTGAGAATTTTTACAGATTATGTTGATCCACAGCCAAGTACTTGGGCTTTACAGCACAAATTCATGTCTATAGAACAGTAAACCAATGAACCAATGAAACCTTTAAGATTTACTCTGTGGAATTGCAAAAGCTTTCATCTAATTGTGAGTTTAACTGTGAGTATTGCTAGAAATCAATCGCTAATACACTTTTGTGAATGCAGTTCATAAGAGGGTTATTTAGTAAAAATATTAGAGCCAAATTGCTTCAGGATAATTCATTTGTATCGTTTAAAGATGTTGTCAAAGCAGCGACAGCGATGGAAATTGCAAATCATGAAAGTGATCCATCTGAATACTATGAAACTAAAATTAATTGGCCTACTACAGTACATCAGAATGAGGATAAATACAAAAATGTATCAACTAAATCGCACATTACGTCAGAGCAGAAAACGCCTTCACCTCTTTTTGAGAGCCTTAAAGGGTAATGTTATGTGAATCTAGACCAATCAGCTTTTTTAGGTTTTCCCGAACAGGAGAACCAAATAGGCTAGTTAACAATAAGACTAGGCCTATCTCTTTGTGTGTTATGCAGCAGAATATACAGTGCCTAAGTAATAAACTAAATGAAAGAGAAGTAATTGTAGAGAACTCTGATTTCAATGTGTTATGCCTATGTGAACATTGGCTATTATCTAGTCAACTTGATTTGGTAAAAATTTGCGGTTTTACCCTAATGGCGGCCTTTTGCCGAACTACACATAGGCATGGAGGTACGTGTATCTACATATCCAATTCTTTATCTCCTTTTTTCTCCACTCTTGATGTAAACGGTTTCTGTGATGAGCTTAACTTTGAAGTTTCAGCAGCAATATCAACTGACCTAAAAATAGTTATAATGTCCGTATATCGTTCACCTGATGGTATTCTATCACAGTTCCTAGATAAACTTGAGGAATTGCTTCAAACCCTTCTTTCAACTAAGCCGGACTACAAGTATATCTTAGCAGGAGACCTAAATATTGATGTCGGTTCAAAAAAAGCAGACGACTGGGCTCTACAAAACACTCTGCGTTCTTTTAACTTATTCTGTTCCAACTTTGAGCCAACAAGGGGTGTGAGGTGCCTCGACAACATTGCACTTAACTTTCAGAGGAGCGACTTCGCTGTCTGCGTTGGAAACTTTGCCTTGTCAGACCATTTAGCAGTTTGCCTTAAGGTGGAAATTCTACAACTTGTAAAACCTACGACGGAATACCAAGTAAAGAGGAATTATAGTCCTGTTAACCAAGCAAAATTTATCTCTACTGTCGGTAATATTGACTGGCCAGGTCTGGTATCAGATGGCAGGCATATCAGCAACAATCTTTTCACCATCCTGTTTGATCAGCTCCAATCAACTATCAATGATTGTTTCCCTCTCAAGAAAATCTTACCAAATTATCAGAGTAAAAAACCTAGACGAAAAAATCGTTGGTTTACAGCAGAGCTTCAAGTCCAGTGTGACTTAGTCCTAACAGCTTTTCATGCCTATAAAACATCTGACTCACAGATTGATAGGGAAACCTATGTGAGCCTAAAAAGGACTTATAAAAAATCTCTTGCAACAGCCAAGCTCAACGCCAATGTAATAGAAATCGAATCTGCAACCAACAAATGCAAAGCTGCCTGGTCCATCATCCGTGGTAATATGGAGAAGCCAAACACCAACCCCCTACGATACATATCTCCACAAGACTTCAGTGATTTCTTCACGTCATCTGTGAAGCAGACAGCGGCACTGGTGACACCTTCGATTGCTGCATCCACTTCACTACTTGAGAATACACCAGCTTCTCCATCATCCTTCAAGTTCAGTGCAGTGTCTTGTGAGGAAGTATATAGTGTTGTGCATAATATGAAATCCTCTTTCAGCACAGATGCATATGGTATGTCCTCTAACCTTCTAAAGCTTATTATAGTGTATATCTTGTTGCCACTCACTGCAAGTATTAACTGCTGCTTGCTCTCTGGCTTTTTCCCCAAAAAACTGAAGTTTTCAAAAGTTGTTCCAATTTATAAAAAGGGTCCGAGGGAGAATCCTAGTAGTTACCGGCCCATTTCGTTAGTTCCTGTGATTGGCAAAGTGTTCAAAACCATAATAAAATCACAATTAATGAAATTTTTTGAATACCATGGCCTAATATCTGATTGGCAATTTGGGTTTCGAACGGGTAGATGTGCCACGGATGCGGTAACGCACATGCTTGGTGCAGCATGTGCTAAATTCTTATGAAAACGCCTCTCTTACCCAGGCAACTCTAGTTGACCTGAGTAAAGCGTTTGATTGTGTTCCCCATGGTTTACTTTTGAATAAACTTGAGTACTACGGTATCCGTGGCACAGAACTCAATCTTTTTAAGTCTTACTTATCAGACCGCAGGCAGCAGGTTGATGTTGCGGGTATATTGTCAGATGAGAGTGAGGTTTTTTGCGGAGTGCCCCAGGGCTCGGTGTTAGGCCCTGTTCTTTTCCTTATAATGATTAATGATTTGGATAAATGTATGTCCTGTACTTCTGTGATTTATGCGGATGACTCCACTTTCTTAAATAGTCAAGGTACCTTTAGTGAACTCATGGTGCTGTCCAAACTTTCCCTCAATGAAGCTAGGAACTGGTTCAGTGTCAATGGGTTTTTTATGAATCCTGAAAAGACTCAAACTATTGTTTTTAGGTTAGGTCGCACACCTGAGGAAGAAAAGAATTTTTCGTCAAGTGTAAATTTATTAGGCATAGATTTGGATAGTGATTTAAGCTGGTCAACCCATTTATATAACTTAAGTAAGAAATTGTCAAGAGTTTTATTTTTAATTAGACGTCTAAGAGATTTTGTTCCTCCTTTGTATGTTAGATCTGCGTATTTTGCTTTTTTTCAAAGTCTGTTAAAGTATGGTCTGTTACTGTGGGGTAACTCCACCCACATTCTAATAATTTTAAAGCTTCAAAAAAAGGCTGTAAGACTGTTGACCAATTCAGGGTTGAGGGACCATTGTAAACCTCTTTTTAAAGCAACAGGTATCCTGACAATTGTAAATTTGTATATATTAGAGTGTGTTATTTTTGTAAAACAAAATTCACATTTCTTTAGCTCAAGAAATAATTTTCACTCATATTACACAAGGGGAAGATCTGCTTTGGATAGGCCCTACACCAGACTAACAACAGTACAGCAAAGTTTTGCTAGTATATCAGTAAAAATAGTAAATTGTTTTGCAAGTGAAATACTTGACATTCCTTGTACTCGGCTAAAACAAAAGTTGATGGTTTGGCTTGCTGACCACCCTTTTTACAGTTTAGATGAATTTTTTGCAGAATACAATTGTAATGGTAAAATTGTTATCTAGTTCTTACTTAGTCCCTAGTCAACTGTTACCTAGTCTTTCAAACACTTGTTTAAGTAGGTACCTCACTTTTGTTTCATATATATAGTTCTGTGTTTTTCAAATGATTTTAGCTTTATTTTCTTGTTGTCTTTGTTATATTTAAGTTTAGTGAAGATTCCATGTTATAGACGATGTTATACTATCTAGAATCTATGGCCCTTTTTTTGTTAACGAGGTCTATTGTAACATATGTTATTTAATGACCAATAAAGATTTATGATTTATGATTTATGGTTTTGGTTCTCAAAATCATAGGGCCACTCAATAACTGTGAGTTTGCTTCAAAGATATGTAATAAATGCAAGAAACAGGGACACTTAGCCAGAGTATGTTTGGGATCTACAAGACCGAAGAACACCAAGCCGAAGAAGAAGACTGTCAAGATGAACAACACGAGATTTTCAAAATAGATAGAAGAAATGGTGACGCCAGACGGCAAGAAGCTGTACACCGTCGCACTCTGGTTGCCACTCCATCCATTTGAGGGCGTTGTCAAGGCACATAAAGGCCTCACTATGTGATGGTACACTTTTGTCTCCTGCCTCTTCGTTTTTTAACACCCTGTATACAAGGGTTGTTTATGAATTAAGGTCCCCAACGAGTCCCTTCAAGGCCAAGCAAACCAGTTTAAATCTGACACCAACGCAGTATTCTTTCCTTTATTCACTACTATTTCAGCTGGTTCCCACCTCTATGTAGTGATTAGACCCGACAAAAAAATCACTGTTTTAAATCTGGAACAGCTCAACTCATCTTATCTACATTTCATCTCATTCTTATCTACCATTGTGACGAACACGTACGGGAAGTTCAACTCAATGAACGAAGGCCTAACACTTGATTATTGCTAATGCATGCACTTATTGCTAAAGAACTAAGTTAATTTAGGATGAGCTACGATCAATTAATTGTTATTCATAAAAAACAGATTTTAAAGGGATCATGTCTGCTCCGTGAACAGCCGCAGGGGAGGGAAGGATCTATTTTATGTTTCAATTTTATATGTTTATACTCATGATAAATAGTTTTTAGTTTTTTTGTCCAAGCTTTGTTACTGTTTATGAAGAGAAAACTATTAAACTATGGCTGACTAAATGTGATGCATTAAAGAGACACTTAAGTTAAATCAAGAAATGCTACGGACAAGCCTTTTATGTCTTAGTGTTAAAATGCCCTTTGTCATTGTGTTTGTATATTGAATAAATAAATTGAGTTGGAACCAAACAAGTTTTAATGTATATTCATGCTTTTGACATTAAAAATGTGTATCCATTTAACTTAAACCACTTACCACTAGCTCCTCAACCCAATGACACTTGAGAGAGAATAATCGCTGAAACATTTCTTCAAAACTCATTTGGCCATTGTTAAGTACTTTGTCGTAGACAGAATCATAAGCTCCCTTATCGTTACCAGAACTGCAATCAATGTAGCGGAGCATGCTCTTGTTTTCACAGTCCCTCAGATCATTGTATAGAGAAATGTCTTTTTGACATCCTGAGATTGTCAAAATACTAAAAATATCCAGAACTTTGGTTTGACACAAATAGTAAAGTGATTCACCGATTTCTTCAAATCCTTTATCGTTCTTTACAAATAAAAGCAAAGCATATAGTAAGTTTACAATATTTTTCCTTGTATCAGGCTCTGAAAAATAGCAACCAGAATATTAGATTTAAAACCATAGATAATAGCTGTGCTGTAATTTATGCATAGTTGTGACAGAATGTGTGAAGGTACAAAATTAAAAAAGAATCCTACTAAAAGCCTATCTATTTCAAAAGTGTTACAAGATAGATTTTACAGATAGAGTGGCCTAAAAAGTTGGTATTAAAATCCTTTATAAGTTATACAACCCCTGCAATAGTGGTAAATAGTGAACATATTCTGTGGAGTGAAATCGTGAACACTTTTTATGATAATAGTCACACAAAATCTTGAAAATCTGCTACAATAACTGGTAAGTTAAAAAATACACTGTTGCTTCTTACAAATATAGATTCACAATTTACTGTAATTGTAAACATAGCATAGAGATTATAAACCTTGAATGAATGGAGACTAACTACCTGGTTGAGACAAGCGATTGAGGCATTGAGTCAATGCAGTCTTATACGAGTCTGTTATAGCTTTATTGACATCTGAGAAAGCTTCATGATCACATGAAATCAGTTGGAGAAGTATGTGTGTTTCCCCTGGCTTATCCAAAAGGCTTTTCAATAAAGCTGTTTCTAAGGAAGAACTACATTTGGGCAATATCTTTCCTTTGCTGACTAGGTTTGCAAACAATACTTTGCTAAAGATCGTTTTCAAATCCTAAAACAAGCAAACAACAAACAATATTCAATATCATTGTTCAATGTACAAATCTAAAGGCTACAAGATTAACATAACAGTATACATTTCTTTAATCTCTATATTTTCAAACAAAAGCTCTACACTCAAACAACTTAAAAATGAAATTTATGGTTTCTGTTGATTCCACTAATTTTACTAATAAAAGTTCACATTTTGTATAAGAAAATATAAAGTAAGTTTTTATTAAATCACAATCTGTAAGTAAACATAAACAATTCAACAAGTAAACAAAAGAATAATTTGAACACATGGTAGAAATAAAATGTAAATAAAACATATGTTAACACCTCCTCCTCTATTTACTGTGCTGAGGCACTCTGCGAAGAATCAGCTGATCAACATGTCTTCTAGTTATTCGCCCATCTTCCAGCTGAACTACGTACATTACGTGTCCTTGCTTTTCAGTTATATAGCCCGAGTACCACTTGGATGATCCATTGACATATACCCGCGCTTGAACCTTATCTCCAACTTTGAAATTCCTTTTTATACCGACTTGGAGTCCCTTGTTCTGAAATTTGTTCGGTTCTAATGTTGGAACAATTATTGCGAGGTTTGTTCGTACACTCCTTCCAAACATTAAGTCGTATGCTGATGTACCAGTTGAATTCGGGGATTGCCTGAGTTGCATTACAAGCCTTTGGATTTTATTTGGCAGTGTACCCTTTTCTCCCTCCATGGATTTTAACGCCTTCTTGACAGTCTGCACGTATCTTTCAGCCTGGCCGTTTGAGTTTGGGTGATATGGTGCCGTTGTTCTGTGAACAATCCCACATTCATTCATGAAGTTTTTGAACTCTTGGGAAACAAACTGTCTTCCATTATCTGAAACTAAGATTTGAGGAAACCCAAAAGTTGAAAAGATTTTCCGTAATTCTTGGACTGTCCATGTACTTGTAGTTGTTCTTGTCTGTATCACCTCCACCCACTTACTAAAAGCATCCACTAATATGAGGTACTGTTGGCCATCTGTTGGTCCTAAGAAATCGATGTGCACTCTCTCCCATGGATTAGTAGGTTGTTCCCATGGATGGATAGTTTTTCTCGGGTTGTTGCATTGTTCAATGCATTGTCGACATTCAGCTACCATCTGTTGTCTATACTTTTCCACCAGCAAAAACTGCGAGCTAAAGCCTTCATTTTTATTTCTCCTAAATGAGCTACGTGTAATTCTCGAAGCATGTGAGGTTTGAGGGATTGAGGTATCATGACTCTCCAGCCCTTCAGTACACAATCATCTTGAATGGACAGTTCGTTATCGTGAAATCCATATTGTTCGACAGATTGTCCTGATTTTAAGGCCTGTAGGACTGGACCCAACACAGAATCGTTGATAGTTTCCTTAGCCACCACGGTACTGTTGACATTAAGTGTTTCTAGTTGGTTTATGTGGTACTTAGAGAGGTCATCTATTGCATTTTCTTGTACAACTTCGGTAGGGAAACGTGAGAGATAATCTGCATTGCTATGATGAGCAGTTTGCCTGTACTCTATGTCATAGTTGAACCCGGAGAGAAAGTGAGCATAGTTGAATATCCGTGTTGCCGAGATTGTTGGTAAGGTCTTTGCTGGATTAAAAATTGAGACTAGCGGTTTGTGGTCTGTAATCAAAGTAAACTTGCGGCCATAACAAAATGGGAAAAACTTTTTCAGGCCCCAATATATTCCCAAGGCTTCCTTGTCGATTTGAGAGTATTTTTGCTCTGATTTTGTTAAAGATCGAGAGGCAAAGGCAATTGGTCTGTCCGTTCCATTGCTATAGCGGTGAGACAGAACGGCTCCCACACCTACCGGTGAAGCATCAGTAGCTAAGACCAGAGGTAAGCTAGGATCAAAGTGAACCAAAACGTCGTCACTTGTGATAATTTCCTTAATCTTCTGAAAACTCTTTTCACAAGATGAATTCCAATTGAAAGGATTTCCTTTTCGTAGCAGTAGGTTCATCGGATGTAGCAGTGTTGCCAAATTCTTTATGAATTTGTTGTAATAATTTGCTAGGCCCAAGAAAGTTCGGAGTTCAGAAACGTTTTCTGGCCTTTTACATTTCAGAATGCTCTGTATCTTGGTATCTGACTTATGTAGCCCTTTGCTATCGATCACATGACCTAAATACTCAATTTTCGTCTGGAAAAACTTGCATTTGTCTCTATTTAGCCTCAAATCGTTTGTCTTCAGTCGTTCGAACACCTGTTTCAGTCGGCGAAGAAGCTGTTCCCGGTTAGATCCTTGGATAATGACATCATCGAAGAAACATTGTACACCTTCTAAGCCATGTAATGTTTTGTCCATGAATCTCTGCCATAACAAGGGTGCCACTTTTACTCCAAACATTAATCGGTTCACCTTAAACAGCCCTTTATGAGTACTGATTGTTTGCATTATGGCACTGTTTTCGTCCATCTCCAGGTGCAAGTATGCATTACTGATATCAAGAGTACAAAATATCTTTCCACAATGCATCTTTGACATGATATCATCAATCCGAGGTATAGGGTAATGTTCGTCTTTAATAACTTTTTTCAAAGACACCTTGTAGTCAGCACATATTCTGACTGAACCATTGGGTTTGACAACCGGCACAATGGGTGTGCCCCAATCGGATGATTCGACACGTGTGATTATACCCAAAGTCTCCAGTCTTTCAAGTTCCTTCTCTACTTTTTCTTTTAATGCATTTGGCATGTGTCTAGGTTTGATGTAAATTGGCTGGGTTTCGTCTTTTACATTAAAATGACCCTTTTCTTTTGGTATTTTCCCAATGCCTTCTTTGAAAATGTCTTCGTATCGAATCATCAAATCATCTAGTTCTTGGATGTTTTCGTTTTCACTTGAATTAATTGAATGTATGTCAGCTGCATCAAGCTGAATCTCTCTTATCCATTCTCCTCCGAATATAGAGTCTACACACTTGTTTACAATGTACAGTTTTCCAACAAAACTTTGATCTTTGTACTGAACATCTACAAAAACAACTCCTCTTGGATTGATTATTTCTCCAGTGTATGTCCTGAGTTGAACATTTGTTTTGAAAATCCTTTTTGGAGAATTTAAAAGTTTAAATGTATCATATGATACAATGCTGAGAGCCGCTCCTGTATCTAATTCCATTGTCATGAGTCGTCCTTCCACTTTTACCTCGAGCATAAACTTGTCATTTGATTTTGAATGAAGTTGGTAAATTTCATGAGTGTCATCACTTGTATTTTCTACGGTTTCATCTGATTGTTTTACTTCCTTGTTTGGTTTCCTTAAGCACACTCTTGCTAAGTGACCAAAACGTTTACACGAGTTGCATTCTGCATTTTTGAACTTACATTGATGAGCTCTATGTGAATCATCACCACATCTATAGCACTTGTTCTTCAGTTTCTCAAAACGAGATTGATAATCAGAGAGTTGTATATGATTAGATTTACTTGACTTACTATCCAGGTGTTTGTTCTTGCTCGATACTTGGTGTACTTCCTCTCGATTTTCATTTGTCTTAACTATTCTGCTCTCACTTTTCGCTAGTTCCAATGTAGCTGCCTTCTCGACTACTTCTTTAAACGGTTGCAATAGTTTATCTTGAAGAAGATGAAGACGTATATCAGAGTCTCTTAGTCCCCTGACAAACTGCATTCGAAGTAGAATTTCAGATACGGATTCATTACAATGTGTACAAGTAAACTGGCATTCGACACTGAGCTTTCGAAGAGCATTTGCGTAAGCTTGTACAGATTCATTACAGAGTTGAGTACGTGTTGTGAATTTGTGCTGACGAGCCCAAATACTGGGTTTTGGTTCTAGTTGTGCCATCAACAGATGAATCAATTCCTCATATGGCTTGTTATGTGGATCATCTGGTATGCAAAGATCGTAGAGCTGTTCGTGTATTTGTGGGGTGATTGATTGTAAAAATAAATCCACTTTGACCTTTGGACTTAAGTTTCCCTGTAATTTTGTGTAGTTTTCAAAGCGCCGAGTGAAGTTTTGAAAACTTTCCTCTTGTGTATATGGCTGGAAAGGAATATTAGATACATGTTGAGATATTGTAGAGGCAGACATTGCAGTTTGTGTATTGTACTTTTTCTTTTCTGCTTCAAGAAATGTTCGTATCTCTATGTATTTCTTCTAACTGCCATCGAATTTCTAATTCACTTTCTACTGAATTCGTGTGAAGTTCAATATTTGACTGTGTAGCTTCGAGGTCAATCCATATTGCTGAAAGCTTATCGGTATAGTAAGTGCATGTATCTTGAGAATGTTCACATGTATGTAAATCATCCTTGAGTTTGTTCAAGCGTAGTTCTAGCAATTTCCTTTTCTTGAGATACAAATCCAATTCTTTTCTACTTACCATTTTACTCGTCGCCATTGTTGATTCCACTAATTTTACTAATAAAAGTTCACATTTTGTATAAGAAAATATAAAGTAAGTTTTTATTAAATCACAATCTGTAAGTAAACATAAACAATTCAACAAGTAAACAAAAGAATAATTTGAACACATGTTAGAAATAAAATGTAATAAAACATATGTTTTCAAAGCAAAGCTTGAGTATAACTGCAATAAGCATTTTATACTTATATTCCAACCCCGTACGAAGGACGGGTACTCTGCTAGTTTTGCATATTTTTGTTGCCTTCAAAAGCGTCTGGAGGCTTTAGCTGGGTATGGGCGGATTGGGGTGACATCATTGTGTGTAGTAACAGACATCAGAGATAAATGAACAACATAGGCAAGTGGCTATGGCAATCATCGTATCACTATCTTTTAACCGACATCGGCTAAATTAATTGGGAAGGCAGGTTCTAGAAAAATTAAGATAAACATTGAAAGATAATCAAAGCGGTTTGGTTACACCCGGGAGACTCGTGATCAGGGGCGGATTTACTTGCTAGAGCCAACTAGTCACCAAAAATGTAGCGCCCTCCCACCCCTTCACCCCACACCAACTTACAATACTACTATAAAA